GAATGGTTGGGCGGGGAAAGAGAAGGTTGGATTGCCCAAGTGAGATGGTCAGGGGATGCGGACGAGGGCCTTCAAAGAGAGGGAGAGATGGTAAGAAGGGACTACTGCCTAAAATTTAAAGAATGGACTGACATTGACCCGAGCTTCCCAATGAGGCCAGGTTCTGATTTCCCGGACCCCTTCCCCCCACACCCTCTATCCCTAGTAGAATTAACTACGTCATAAGTCTCGGTTGTGTGGGGTTGCTGGGTAAATTCTATCTTTATGGAGCAAACAGAGCCCCCAATACCCGACCCGACTACAAGGTAGGTAAGGAAGAGTTAAATTGGATTTGGGACGCTGAACCCGGTTTTTAGCAAAATGACGTCATTCTAAAAAATGTACTGTGTTGTAAAAGATGTATGTGTGTCCCTGTGTTGAAGGCTCCATCTATTGGGTGGGTGGGAGTTGCACCTGCTCATTGACAAGGATTATTCCGAGCTTTATGGCATACTTGCTTCCGACGGCGAAAGCAGAACACTGAGAACAGGGCTCTTACCCCTATACATGCATTGCAACACCCTGGACTTCAAAAAAAAAAAAAAAAAAAAAAAAAAAAAAAAAAAAGTGCATTTTGATTGAGGCCTGCGTCGGTAGTGCAAGAGGTGCAGCTGTAGGCTCACGAGGTTTGGAAGCTAGCTTCTTCAACTTGTGCTCCTGGGAACTTTTGCAATGTGTTTCCCGACCAAAGAATAAAGAAGCGGATGGACAAAACCTAACGGAGACTAACGCGACTGCCTAACAATAGAAAACCTAACGGAGACTAATGCGACTGCCTGACAATAGAAAACCTAACGGAGACTAACGTGACCGCATATTTTATTTTTTATCAGTATTCTTTAGCAGACTACATTTTTTTTCCTTTTTTTTTTTTTTTTTAGAATTGTCACTTTATATTTCAAAAACAAAAGTGGTCGAGGCCACGGACCTCATAATTCTACCCGGTGTTGACAAGGAAACTTGCTGGAAACTGGGTCCAGTGTCCCACGACCATACTGCCTCAGTAGGAAGACGAACTCCTCAAAATAGCCTTGAAGCACAGAAAAAGGTGACTGAACTAATCATAATAAAACTTACTTAGTCTATTCCTTCAGCCTATAGTATGATATCCTTGCAGCGTAGGAGAAGTACAAGGCCGACATGTTTCTAAGATCGAAACACTAATGGCAAGGAACTACAACTTATAATATGCAGATCTCGATAATGCGCAAGACAATTCACGATAATTTTACAGTTTCCACCCTACGTAATATTCCAAAGGCATACAAAATTAACCCTAAATTTAAAACTACACACATACAATTTTCAAACTGAACGTAGTAAAATTGTCTCTATGAAATATGTCCTCCGAAGAGGCAAACGATTAAAAACAATCAATCCAAATTCCAAAATATATCGGACTACAAAAATAAATATCGATAGCTAAAAGCTGGGAAGAGGAAATAATCATTGGGGTTGCCCGCTCAACCTTACTATCCAAAACGCTGTAAAGAGCCTTTGTTGCCTAGGCGGGTTTCCCACCACGCACCCAATGGATACAACTCTAGTTTGCTCTTCACCGGGTTTCTCATATCATCCCTACCCTGTAAAAATCATCCAAGACTACTGCAAACATATCCCAGCACTTCAGAATACCAAGAATTTGAGAAGTGTTTAACTCATCGCCTTCAGGAAACGTTTCCACTGCCTCTAGTGAGACTCCCACTCCCGCTGTTGACGCCGCCACCCGTAAGGCTTCAAATCATTACAACCGTCAAAATTCTAAAAATAACAAAATGACACACATAAGATCTACACAAATGAAACTAAAAGACAGTCTTTCAAAACAGAATTGGGACAGGGATTAGGGTTCCCTCCTTAACCCCACTATCAAAAACGTTATAAAGAGCCTTTGTTGCCTAGATAGGTTTCCCACCCCGCACCCAATGGATACAACGCTAGTTTGCTCTTCACCGGGTCTCTCATACCCTCCAACCCTGTGAGAAATTCCCCAAATCAATACAAGGAAACCTCGGCCACTTAAGAGTATCGAAAAAAAAAGAAAATCACGATAACTAAAAGCTGGGAAAAGGAAATAGTTATTGGGCTTACCCTCTCAGCCTTACTACCAAAACGCTGTAAAGAGCCTTTGTTGCCTAGGCGACTTTCCCACCACGCACCCAATGGATACAACTCTAGTTTGCTCTTCCCTGGGTCTCTCGTATCATCCCTACCCTGTGAGAACCATCCAAGACTACTGCAAGCATATCCCAACACTTCAGAATACCGAGAATCTAAGAAGTGTTTAACTCATCGCCTTCGGGAAACGTTCCCACTGCCACTAGTGAGACTCCCACTCCCGTTGTTGGCGTCGCCACCCATAAGGATTCAAGTCATTACAACCGTCCAAATTCCAAAAATAACAAAGTAACACACATAAGATCTACAAGATAGAAACAAGACAGACAATCTTTCAAAACAGAATTGGGACAAAGATAAACATTTGTGCAAGTCATGAAACAGCTGTGCAAGTCCACAAAGAAAAAAAAACACAATGTCATGAAACAGTTGTGGAAGTCCACGAAGAAAAAAAAACAACATTGTTGCGTGAGGGCATGACACTTGGAGGCTGGTCAGCTTTCACAACGAAGTTTGAAAGCATGCCTGCTCCGCCCATCCCCGAATGCATGTTAGATGGCTCACACGATGCGAGAATGTGGATTCCCATCGTCGGTGCAGTAAATAGGATATGCGGATAATGGTCGTGCTGCAACGTAAGAGTATAAACACTCACAGTTAAGGTCATGAAAACAATGTGTGAAGACATGGTGGCGGATTGATATATAAAGACATGATGTGGATGTAAGATGAGTTATGGATATTTATGTATAAGCGAGGAAATGTTGTCGAATAAATGGAATACTGGCCATGAATTTATGTGAATGGAAACCGAAATTAAAAAACTGTTGCACTTGAATCGAAAAAACGAAAACATTGGCTTTTTATAGATTGATATGCCAAAACACATGAAATATAGTGAAAATAGGAAGGAAGTTGTGTGAAAACTAGACGATTCTTACATAAATTATAAAAAAATAGAGTGAAATTATAAAGTTTGCACTGAAAAATAATAACTGTCGTCAAGAAAAGGTAGTTCCTTCCAAAATTTGAGAGAAAACAAGTGGCTTATTGACAAAAAAATTTCAAGGTATCCCCCAAATTTGAATGGTTGAAAATATAAAAAACATGAAAAATCGCTTGAAAAATGGACTTTCAATTTCGTACACAAAAGAAAATAAATCCGTTTTGACGAAATCGCAGTTGTTAGGGTTACCTCCTCAACCTCACTATCAGAAACGCTGCAAAGAGCCTTTGTTGCCTAGACGGGTTTCCCACCACACACCCAATGGATACAATGCTAGTTTGCTCTTCACCGGGTCTCTCATAACCTCCAACCCTGTGAGGAATTCCCTAAACCAATACAAGGATACCCCGACCACTTACGAGTGACGAACTCTGTAAGGTGTAAGTGGCCCTACATCACTGTTTCCTATACTTAAAACACTACATCGCCATCAACAGAAGCGGTCCCAAGACAAAGCCACAAATTAAAGCAACCAACACACGAAGGAAAACGCTGTGCAAATGTTCCAACAGATAAATCAATCAATCATGGGTCTTCAACCTACACCATAACCAGGAACGGATACTAAAACAACCATGACGACCAATTTAAGAAAATAACACCAAACATGAAGTATATAAAAAGACGCAGACTGCCCTGCACCATAGATAGAACGACCGAGCCTTGCTATAACCCTTGGACAAGCCGAAACGCTGCCACGGCAACCGTACGCTCTCCCACTGCATCCAGATGCGCCACCCCGCCATCCGTGCTTTCTTAACGACCGAGGCGATCGAAGTAACATGTCCTGCGTATCCAACGCCCAGCCTTTGGATATTGAAAAGGAGCCCCCCCTTACGAGCAAAAGGCTTAAGGGGAGGATGGCTCCTCTGGTATCTGGATGCTATTAGGTATAAAGGTTGGCATAGACTTCAAGTGTAGAGTATGGGACTGCCAGGATGCCAAGGCGATGAGTGCAAAGCACTCCCTCCCCACTCAAGGGCAAGGTTCCGCCAGGGCACTGTCGCCATAGCTCTCACACAGCTATGGTTCCTGGCAGGGTAGGCACCACGTGGAAGGTCAGCGTCACCACACCTCGACGTCACAACCTACGCAGCCGCCTCCGACGACCGGGCGCCGCCACCGCCGCTATCGCCGCTACGTTAGCGCACTTTTCGCATGGCCTCCATAGATCTGGAAACCTTAGCAGGCTACATTTTGCTGCTAAGGAAAAAAATATGCATCTTGCACGCAGCTGCAACTTTGGGTGCTCTGCTTGCTTCTGAGCAAAATGGCTAGCGGTGGGTGGCAGCCAAAAGGAGGTCTGCGCAGATTCATTCCATTTCATTTCAGTTTTTTGGTGTGCAAGGCATTTCTAGCCCCGTAGAAAAGTGCCTCGATTAAATTGAGATAAGAATATAGTTAAAAAAAAAAAAAAAAAAAAAAGGCCTCCGTACTGGTGGTTTAAGCCGCGAGGATTAGTCACAGGAGCAGAAGGAGCACCCACACAACTTACTCACTGAGTCTGAGTCCTTTGTTGTTGACTTCCCTGATGATGGAATTTGCCTTGGGCACTGAGTCTGAGTCCTGGTTGTTGACTGTCCAGTCTGTCCTGATGATGGGGGAAAAAAAAAAAAAAAAAAAAAAAAAAAAAAAAAAAAAAAGAAGTCACCGAGTCACGGGATCCTTGACAAGTGTCAGGGGGACCTCATTTGTCAATGAACGAAATTCAATCTTGGAAGTGATAAAGTCCTGGTCGGGAGGGCGGGCGCCGTTCGCGGGTGCGAGCGCACTCCGAAATAGCGCTACCGGTTCGGCAGAATTGGTACCACCGTCTAGTCAACCCTGCGCGTTGCGGGCGAGTCGAGCACTCCCTCAACCTTCACTGCCTGGCTATGTCGACAGCCAACCCCCCTTTGGGGAGGAAAGGGGAAGGGAGGACAGTGGCCTGATCAGGTTCAAACACATGATGAGAGTGAGCAACGTGTGACGCGACGTGGCGCTCAAGCAGCACGCACGTCAAGGGAGAGATCAGGAGTGATTGGAGAGAACAGACCAGACACATAAGGAGAGGAGCACATGACCAACGTGGCGGCGGTGGATCCAGGGCCACCACCACAACAGGGTCAGCGGATGTCGGAAGAGGAAGCAGCCAGAGTAAGAACACTGCTAGGAAAATGCTATGATGATGACCTGTTTCCGGAAGACATTGGACGTGAGATAGGAACTGTGGTACACGAAGACTACAGCCTTTTGGCCCTTTTCATCTTGGATGACGACATAGATGACATGATTATAGACTGGTTGAAGGCACAAACAGTGATTGTGCTGTCCATGACCCAGGACCAAACGCTGAGTTTGGCTAACCGGGAACAGCTGATTAGAATATATGAAGATGGATGGTACCGGGATCCCAACGTCAACCCGTCAGCGAAGAGAGGCCGTACACATGGGGAAGGCCCGAACGTCATGTCATATGTGGCCAGGTCAACACAAATTGCCCAGTGGTTGACGACGCTGGGTTCTGTGGACATTCCGTGCCATGGGGGCACATTCAAGGTGCTTTTCAAACCATGGATGACAAGGGCAGAGCTGGAGCAGATGAGAGAACAGGAGCAGGCGGCGCGCTTCAGACTGATCGCGCTGAGGGTTCCACTGGTTGCTATGTTTAGCTTGATGAAGGCAATACAACGCACCCTTGGCCCGGTGTTGAAGATGCATCCTCCAGATAAAAAAGAAGACGAACCTATGCTAGGGAACGTGAAGATCGATTGTGACCCGACGGTAAGAAACACGTACAGGGACCAATTGTACATACGAAGCAAGGACGGGGCGGATCTGAAGATCAGGATAGCTTCACAGGACTCTCCCTTTTGTAAGAAGTGCTTGTGGTGGTTTCACACAGAAGAAGACCCAGATTGCCCAAGATATGGAGAAGAGATGCCGGCAGGGAGGAGAAGGGGCAGGGGTGGAGGGAGAGGAAGAGGAGAGGGGAGGGGAGGTAGGGGTGTACGGGGAGACCCGGGAGGAGAAGGAGGGAGAGGGAGACAGGACCCCTCCCCCCCCCCCCCCCCTCAACCAGCAGGTAACTTAACAAACGGGGCTTCGTGGCAAAGACCGGGGCAGGGAAGGGGGCATCAACAGCAGCAGCCAAGCGGAAGTACGCATCAGCAGCGAACGGGAACCCATCAACAGCGAGCAGCCACATACGGGCAACAACAGCATCTCCAATCAGGGCAAGGAAACTGCCGACAACAGTTTACGGCCGGAAGCGGTCAGCCAAGCAGCCAACAGCCATCCCCACAACAGGGGACTCCACTAGGAACGCATAGTCGCCAGCTACCATGGTCGAGCAGTGGTGGGGCAGCATCCCAACACCCGGCTACGGGAGGTAATTACTTTCACCTATTCTCCTACATTCCGCAGCCAGTAGTTACGATGGGAATGTCCATGCAGGCACAAGCCACGGGGCTGTCCTCCTCCATTAATATGCCTCCCCCACCTCATCGGCCGAACCCTATCTTAGGTTCCGTTGCCACCCCTCTGCCTGGCCTCTCACATTACGTTACTATACATGCCAATCCCAGTTTTTCGGCGTCTGCCAGTCACCTTGGTAGTCATCCCCCAGACCCCAACTACGGTAGGGGTAGAGGGTATGGTAGTGGCTCCTTCACATCGACCGGAAACAGGGTAATTCTACGAGACCCAGGGTTAGGAGGTGTGGCGGGAACCCATCTCCAGGAGATAGAGGCAGGAAGGGAGCAGACGGGTCACAACATAGGCACGTCTCACGGGTCAGGGCCAACAACATCTAATAGTGTCCTGCGGTTGGGTAGAGTGACGGAGGCAGCTCCTTGCAAATCAAGGAGACTGGGAGCGGAAGGAGAAGGCGAAATAACCCAGGAGGAAGAACAGGACGAAATGGAGATTCGCAGCCTAGCCTCATCACTGTCGATAGGTTCGGCCGCCAACAACCAAACCGGTAGCAGTAGTCAGGGGGGACAACTCACGGGGAAATCGAAGTCAGAACAGGCAATCACTGCACCATCGTACCCATTGTTTTTCGGAATTACATCCACACCACAGGGTTTGAAGGTCATGGCACAATTTTCCCAGAACGACCAGCTAGCTTTACCCACTATTCCGGTCTCAATTCCCCCTACAACTCGATCGGTGCTCCTGCCGCTGCTTAGTAATCATTTGGACAGACTCTTCCACTATTGATTAATCCCTGGAGTAAGGATAGGGAGAAAATCACGGAAAGGTCAGGCAGGCCAGTCGAATGCCTTCTTCATCGGAGTAGTGGACTTGAGATTTTCACAAGAAACACTCGAGGGATGGGAAAGAGAAAGGGAACCTGGCTCCCGGCTGAGTGGTTTGCTTCAAAGAACACCCCGGAACTGGCAGGGATTACCTTGCAGCCAGGAGTAGATGCTCGTTTGGTTGCGGAATTTTGCGCCTCTCTCCTGAGTGACAGAGTCTAACAATTGATGTCACCAGGGCTGCTTAACACCCTCAAGATCGCCTGGCCGGAAGGGGGACCCTCATCAACAGGAACCACCCCTCGCCGGAGGAAGAATGAACAAACAGAACACCCAGACCGTATCCAACAGTCGTCAGGTCCAGTGTCGATGAATGTTTAAATTAAAGGTGGCTACATGGAACGTAAGGGGATGGGGAGATTCAGGAAAGAGGCGGAAGAAAGCACGTTTCAAGACCTGGGTACATGAAAAGAAAATCCAGATTGCCCTGATACAGGAAACAAAGCTGGATGATGGCAAAATAGACGACATAGGTCGTTGGTGGTCGGGTACACAATTCTGGGCGCCAGCCCTGGGTTCGAGAGAAGGAACTGCTGTTTTGATTCATGAAGCCCTAAACGTAACAGTGATAGACCATATGGAAGATTTTTGGGGTAGGTGGGTCTGGGTCTCCTTTGAGTTCGAAGGTAAAGAATGGGCAGTGATGTCTGTGTATGCCCCATCAGAATATGGAGAACGGATCTCATTCTTCTCAGAACTGCAGTCCCTAATCCCGGAAGTGGAGAACCTGATAATTGGGGGCGACTGGAATACAGTCTTAAGTCCAGGCCTAGACTCACAGGAGTACTGGAACTCCAGAACAGATACCACCGACCTGCTTAGCTTCATAGAAGGTCAGGGATAAGTGGACCCATACCGCACGCTGCACCCGCTGGAACCGGGTTTCACTTGGTTTTCCAGTCAGAGCTTCCCGAACCGCCCTTCCCCCTGCAGACGGTTGGGTTTATTTTTGGTTGGGGAGGAGGCATGGGACATGCTCACAGAGGTAGAAGAATCCCCCCACCCACTCTCAGACCATAAGCCGGTCGTGGCAGTTTTCAACATATCATCAAAGGTGYAGAGAGGGAAGGGGATTTTTCGGTYAAATAATGACAACTTGCGGATGCTGGCGGTAAGAGATTGGTGTGTGAAACATTGGCAGGATTGGGAGAGAGCCAGGGGAAACTTCCACACGCAGGGCGAATGGTTAGAGGCAGGGTTCAGAATAACAACCAGGGCACTGGATGTTTTTTCTAAGATCCTGGCACGGGGAAGGAATAGAGAGGAGGATCTATGCAAAGGGAAAGTGAAGGAAGCAGAGGCACACGTGGGAGAGCACCTTATCTCGGACACATACTGGGAATACGAGCGGGACCGATGGCTAGGGAGATGGGAGGAACTCCAAGTGAGAAAACAGGAAGTCTGGGCACAAAGAGCAAGGGCAAGGGGCATGCTGCAAGCGGACAGACTGTTGAAAGAGGCTTTCAAGCGCCTCCTTCCCCCAAGACACCACACCACCTTCACGGAGCTCAGCCACCCTTTTCTGGCACAGGCAGACATTCCAACTGAAACAGAACAAATAAGTAGATACGCACAAAAGTATTTTGAGGAGATCCTAACATCCCGCAGAGCCAGAGAGAGAGAAAGAGAGAGAGAGGAACAGCCCCATCACGGAAGTGTGTCGCTTGCGCTCTGCGCCCCACGGTCGGCAGGGCCCGGCTGCTAGGAAGTGCGCGAGCCGTGAAGAGATGGGTGGCAGGTTGCCTAGCCATCTCCGCAAGGTTTGAGCATCGCCACCCCCGGCCTTTGGGCTTGAACGGGCAAGTTCCCGTGCGGGGTGATGGTGGTGCTGTGACGCCAGCGTGACACACGATACGAGTGGAGCGGAACGGAGTGAAGACRGCGGGRAGAATGACATGTGAACCGAAGACGGGACGAGACGATGTGACGAGAAAGATGCGAGGTGYACGATAGTGTCAAGGAGCGATTGGCGACTTGGAGAAAAACAGATAGGTCATCACGGTGGACTGGAGAGGCCGTGAACCACAAGGACGASAGGCAGGGCGGCCGTGGATGGTGAGTCCTCGACAGAAGTGACGACGACCGGGGAGCAAAGGGTACGTTTGAYCGACGGGAGTGGATGCGTCGGGAAGGGAGCGGTAACACTAGTCGGGGCAGACAGACGTGGTGGGCTGTGGCGAGTCTGACATCACACATGAGTATAGGAGATGGGACGGGAAGGGAAGACGGACGTCACGGTGGCCTGGAAAACACCGGAAGCGTCCGCCTGCAGAGGATAAGCCGACGGGGGGGAAGGTGATACTCAGCTACGACGGGCGGAAAGGTGGTCCACCGACAGGGCGGATGTGTTACGACGGGCAATGGACAGCGTTGACCAACGCGAGGGAAAAGCGGATCAGACGGGGGCCCGCATGTGACACCTGGGCATGGGATAAAGCCAAAAGGGTTGCGACTGACGACACAGTGGGGAGGTGCTCAAGCGAAGAAGAAACTACGGCAGCAAAACGCCCGAGTTGCAGAGAAACGTTGTGCCGCCCATCCTCGTTAAAATCTGGGTGACATCCCGAGACCTCCCCTGAAACTCCGACGCCCCTGCCCCCTGACCTTCCTCCCGCCGCATCTACCTCCCTCCCCCCCCTTCCCTGTGCCCTTCCCCTGAGTCCCTCTCCCCCCCTATCTCATGCTAACTCAATTCATCCATGAATGGCAAGGCGACAGTAAAACACCAAGACTAATAAGAACCCCCGTTCAAAGACTGACTCTTATACCCAACTATACAAATTGGCTCCATGGCCTCGCCCCTGCCGCTGCGGCCACCCACCCTCGTGCAGAAGAGCCTCCACACCGAAAATGGATGGATGACGTCATGAAATACGATGAGTAGAGATTATTACAACGGGTAGTTTCCAGCTCTAAGATTGCATGACGTGCTCACCACACAGACTGCTTTGCATGTCCTGCAACGGACTAGGGCTTCAGCACACTGTAAAAAAACAGATCTCTGCCTGGTAAATGGATGGATAACGCCATGAAATATGACGAGTGGAGATAAATTCAATGGGTAGATTCCAACTCTAAGATTACATGACGTGCTCACCACACAGACTGTTTTGCATGGCCTGCAACAAACTARGGCTTCAGCACACTGTAAAAAGACAGATCTCTRCCTGGAGCATGTCAAACAAGAAAGGGTAAGACAATTATCGACACTGGATTGGAACCCCTGATCTAGGACTGGAAGAACTGGAAGATGCTCCAACCGCATCCACTGCTTGTATGATCGGTTCACCTACCATACACTGTGCTGCCCCACACTCCTGAGTGAATGACCCCCTGTGCTGTGAAAGGRCGGATATCTGCTCGCAGTACTCGAATTGGAACTGGCAGCGGAGACTTGGGAGTCTGATTGAACCATCGTCCACATAGCGCGGTCTTCTCCCCTCACGTGATACAAGACATCAGGACACAGCCTCCCCACCTCCACTAAGCCAAGATGGTCGAGGAAACAGGCAAACGGGAACGGGTGAAGGCACACAGGGTACACAAAGTCCCACACCAGGAACACACCGAGGACTCGCGGCAAGCCCCTCTACCCCCCGATGGGTCCGAAACTGGCCGGCAACAAGCGAAAGGAGGCCACGGTGTGGACCAACAAGACGAACAAAGAAAAAATGAAGCC